CGCCTGATCCAAGAGAGAGAGAGAGAGAGAGAGAGAGAGAGAGAGAGAGAGAGAGAGAGAGAAAGAGAGAGAGAGAGAATTCTTCTTCTTCCTCTTCTCAGTCCACCATCTCCCTCTCACCCTCTCGTTATCTGACTCCACTGCATCAGCAAACTATGAGCGAGAGAAAGAGAGAGCTTGGTGGCATTTTGGATCCAGAGTCGACATTGGACTTCAGACATTTTAACGAGGGATTATGTGGGACTTGACGACTTTCCCATCTCTCCCCTCCTCTTCGTTTGTGCATGTCTGGACCTGCGCCTCTTCCTGTGTATAGCGCCAGGCCCTTCACACCGTGTGGTGAGAATGATGTATGTTTGGTCTGCTTTGCAACATTGATTGGGCTAGTTATTAGTATTCTAAGTATTCTGCTGCGCTATCTTGCACTACGTGATAGAGGTCCGTCCCGGTCAGGTCAGGATCTATATCTAAGTCTCCTGCTACGCTATTTGTACCTTATATAAGAGGTCGGTCCTTGTTCTGGTCTGCACCTTTATAGTATGCTACGGGGCGTATGTGTATATGCGATGAATCGCTTGGCCAACTCTCGTTACTTTTGTCGCTAAGACAAAGTAAATCGGACGAATCTACCGTTAGGACATGTAAAGATACACTATCATATTCTCTGAACAAACGTTGAAAGAACAAATAAATAAATTATCATACATGATACATACATACATATATACGTATATATACAGCCTCCTGATGGATCGTTGAAACTCCAACAAAAACAGTTGTCGCGGTCCCTAAGTTGTTATCCTTCTCTCTCTTTGTCTATGGTTATCGGCAGCTATGCCTGACAATGTATATATATATATATATGTATATAAATATATAAATATATACATCTTTCCTTGTATTAATAAACTGACGGGGATGAATTTGCCCTGAATCAAAGAGGCAGATTCATCGAGTGAAAGATGATAACGAATCACGACAGAGTGAAAATCAAGGCATATGAAAGCCTGCAGGAACAGTATCGAAAGGCAGAGGTGGGAGTACAGGAGAACGCGAACGCCGAGGCAAAAACACGAGAAAAAATGACCGCGAGGGATAGCGAGTTGGGTAGCAGGCAAGGATACGAGCATGCAACGAATGTGTAGCGGAAGCTGGTATGAAGGTGGGCATGAGCATGGCCAATGGCACGATCGTGTGCTCGAGTAAGCTCGTAAGAAAGAAAAAGAAGTTAGGCAGAATCAAGAGAGAAAGAGGGGGTAGAGGAGGAGAGTTGAAGGATGGAGGAGAGACTAAGGAGAGGTGGAAGGAGGAGTGGGGTCGGAAGGAGAAGAAAGCAGCCGCAAAAAAGGAGATCGATCACCACATCCACCCACTTTGATGATATCTAACAAGGATCGTAGCGCAGGTGCGTTCCACCGGGAAAAAGGGGGAATGGAGGAAGAGCAAAGGTCGAACGAATCTCCCACTTGAACAAGGAAGGGGGGAGTGTCTGGATACATATGTTGGTGGTGGTGAGAGCAAGCCCTCACTGACACTGTCTTTCAGTATTACGGCTTTCTATTGGCAATCCATCGGTACAATGCTTCTTCTGAGTACTGTTACACGATTTAGCTTTCAATGTGATGGTGTGATCTTGGATTGTCATCCCGCTGTTACTTATTTTCATTACTATTATTAATTATTATTATTATTATTATTATTATTATTATTATTATTATTATTAGGTGCATATTTGTCCTTGGGGGCATGGGGCATCTGTGAGTCAGGGATCAAGGTTGTGAGTGAGACGGGAGACATACCTGGTGCTTGACACGTGCGGCATTGTCCGAGATCTGCACGTACTCCGGGGAGCTGTTGTCGTCAACTTCGACATTACAGTTTAGGCCAAGATAAGATGTAACATGTTATTCGTTAAAATAGGACATTATACTGTGTCCTCCTACGTAACACCGTGTTCGCGTTCGGAGGAGAACGTGAACATGTTCGCCCGAACGCGAACAAGCGCCCAAAATCCTCCAAACGCGAACATAAAAAATATTAAAAAAAAAAAAAAAAAAAACGTTCTCAAACAATTCTGAAAAAAATATATGTTATTTCAAATAATAAAACAAGCAACTTTTGCATTGGAGTCATGTTCAAATTCTTAGCCAATCATGATTTAAAAATAAAAAACCGAAAAATAGTATATATATTTTTTACGAAAAAAGAAAATGTTCACGACCTGTTCGCGCGAACATGTAGGGGTGCGAACACGTTCGCCGTGCTACACAGGTGTCCTCTTTCTATCGAATTCATTTTTGGCTGCATTCCAAGCAACGTATGCACGTCCATCCACGTCTTAAGCACATGCAGAAGTGTGCTGAGATCCGTACTTGTGAAACTTTATAAATAATATCCCAAATGAGGAAGCGTGTTCAAACCCGTACATGTTAGGCACGTTGCACGGGAACCTTGTGTGGAAGTCAAGAAAGTGACAGAGCCTATTCTATCTCAGAGCTTCTTCATATTAGAATGAAGTAAGTATCAGAAGTTGATCAGACAGTGATGAATGCTGCGAAAAGGATGACATACAGCAGGCTATCAGATCAAGAAAGATGGAACAAGAAAAGATATATAAGAAAAGAGAAATTGAAGATTGGAGATGTTGTCCTTCTGTTTGACAGTTCCCTTGAGACGCAATGGACTGAAAGGTTGGGGCCTAGATGGCTTGGTCCTTACAGAATTACAGGAGAAGCAGGGGGCAAAGTTTATGAGATTTCATAGATGAACGAATCCAGGGTTCATGACGTGGTATCAGGGTCAAGACTTTGTAAGTTCATCTTTAGAGACCCTAACTTGATCCCTACAGTGAAACCAAAAAGAGGGAAGATAAGCCAATCATCCAAGTAAGAGAACGGTCATAGAGGACTGAGAAAGAGTACAGTAAGACATTGAGACAGAGAGACTCAGTTATCAGCAGACAATGATCATTCTTGCATAGTCAATTCAACATTTCAAGTTTCAGTATTTCAGTTTCAATACATCAGTTTCAGCATCTCAATTTCAATATTTCAGTTTTCAGCAAGTCATTTCGTTATTTATTTCAGCAAACAACTAAGTTAATGAGACTATATCTTTGATGCAGCGCTGCAATCGTTCCATGAGTGTCAAACCCTGAGAGCGGGGGGGTAACTATGAGTACAGTTCTGGGAGCACTGACACAGTGTCAAGATTTGAGAAACTGATAACTGTGGCACATCAAATGATACAAGTAGTATTATTCTTATGACAAAGAGAAAGCATGATGGGCATAAAGAAGTTCAATTTTGTCTGATTGAAAGTTATCAACAGAAGGACTTCGTGTCTCTGACTAAGATGTCCATCCAAGAGACTCAGACGAAGGCAGGCATAAAGAAGTTCAGCTCGACTTGACTGAGAGTGTGCCGAGATCCTTACATGCTGAACTTCAAAAACATGGCACTGTTGGGAATCCTGTGCGGGAGTGTGCTGGGATCCGTACCTGTTAAACTTCATAAACGAATAACGACAGACACGCCCATCAGGGAACCCTGTGCGGAAGTGTGCTGGGAGCCTTACTTGTTGAACTTCATAAATGTGTCGTGAATCTTGTGTCGAAGTGTATCGGGATCCGCACTTGTTAAGCTTCATAAACGAATAACGACAGACACGCGCATCAGGGAACCCTGTGTGGAAGTGTGTTGGGATCCGTACTTGTTAAACTTCAATTCCATAATTGTGATGAGCAATGTGTCATGATTGCATCCTCGTTGGATAATTATATTAGAAGACGTAGAGTAGCGACAGGCACGCCCATTCGGGATGCCTATGCGATAGTGTGTCCGGAGCCACACTTGTCAAACTTCAAGTTTGTGAATGTGATGAGTAAGGTGTCATGATTGAATCCTTGTTGGATGATACTATTTATTTCTTTTATGCGTGAGTTGTACATGCATGGCTATCGTCTCGCCCGAGGCGGTTGTCTGGATGTTGTAGAGATTCAGACTTCTTTAGAAGTATAAACAGTAACTGTTATTTTTGACATACAATTTATTTTTCCTGGTCTAGAACGCCAAATTGTCGGTCACATGTAATTCAGGCGGTCACAAGTGCATGATTGTCTATGCACACAAGAGACGTGATGTCACTGGTCTTTCACTCTTTGCATAACGAACCTCACACCTACACACTCACCGAGATTTGTCTTGCATCCACATTCCAATTCGTCATGTCGCACCACACACACGAATATCATTTCGAGGTGAATTATATGCACAACTTTGAATGACCTGGACACAATTTGCAACGAGGACTGCAATGCGATGAATGTAATTACACAACAGACGAGTCGGACCTGGCAGAGATTCCGAAGGCAATACGCAACACCAAACTGGCAGTCAACATACCAAAGACAACTCAAACCCGCAACACTGAAAGAAAGTAATGTCGTTGTGAAAGCGACAGTTAAAATATGAAATATTCTGAAACAGAAGTTTGCAAATCAACCGAATCCATCAAAGACAACGGCATTCCAAGATACATGATGCCAGTTGTCGTCTAATATACGGAATATTTTTACAAGAGAACCTGAAAGGCGGTTGATCGCCACGTTGCAACAGTGTCGCAAACATCAACATAAACACCCCGCAACTAACTTCATCCACTTGTCTTGGAACTCCCTCTATAACAACATTTGCTGCCACCGACTTCCAGCGCCTGCACGACCGCCTATGTGATGTTTGACATTCCAAATAGTGTACGATCAACTCGAAAACACTAAGGTAAAAAATAGAATCGGCTACGACGCAAGGAAAATAATCGAAAATCTCAAAAACATTATCTCTCAAGCTCACGGAAAGGCGGATCGAGTTATCATTATCTTTGAGGACTGGAACAAAGATAGTATCATATTCAAGCAGATCTACATTTTTAGCCCATCTTTCCACCCCTCCGTGCCCTTGAAGTTGCAGTTTACTGAAGAAGAAAGAATTAAAGGTGAAGACCCGAAGGCCTCGCGGGATGTCACTTATCCCATATGCGGTCGTTCCTAATAGCGCCATGTAGAAGTTGACCACCTCATCATTCACCCTGCCATCGCTAAGTGAGAGGGTGAGAATATCCTTCGCTGCAATTCGCAACTGACCATTGCAGAGGGTTGAGAGTACAGTATCAGGTGGCACCAAGCCTCGTTCAATGTCGTCCGAAACCCGCAAGCTTCCAATCGCAGTCACTGCTGTTCCAGGTGCCGTGGCCCGCACTGCACAACATCGAGCAAAGGACAGGGGGGGAAGTGAGAAACGGAACACTAAGGATTCCCCTTCATCGCACGACGAGTAGCTAAGTATTTCTCATACATGGCCGGACCCCTAATCACAGATCGTGGATATGTCCCTTTCTCTGGGGGCAGAAGGGAAAGACACTCCTCAATGGCAATGGCATGCTCCTTCTTCCCGATTTCGACATCAACCCCTGACGCCTTTAACATGTCCTTGTGTTTTGTCGTCAACCCCGTGACTATATGCAATATGTGTTCCGGATATTTAGAGGGCCTCCGTGTTCGAGACGACCCTACCCCTATACAACAGAAGAAAGACAAAACGGAAAGTGAATACACGTTTCCGAAGAAGAACCCGACGAAACGACAATTAAAGGACCACGAAATCTAAAAGACGCAGACCCATGCAATTACAGAACCCTGTCATGCCATGAGAGTGCGAGAGAGAGAACTTCCGCATGAGCCACGTTGCAAAACAAAACGAGCAGTGCACTCGAGCTCGACACCCCCGCCCTGCAGAAGGGAAAAGCACATCAAGTCACAGAAGCGGAAGGCAAACATATTTGAAGTCCGGATCCCGGCGGACTTTTCTAACCTAGGGAGATGACCCAACCCCTGTGCAACCAAAGGAAGAGAAAACGGAAAATGAACTCACGTAATCCAAGACGAATCCGACGAAAACGACAACTCAAGAACCACGAAACGTAGAAGACGCAGGACCTATCTATTTACAGAGCCCCGTTTAGCCATGAGAGAGATAGAAAATACTTTCGCGCAGGCCCCGCTGGAAAACAAAAGGAGCAGTGCGTTCGACCTCGACMCCCCCGCCCTTCAGAAGGGAAAACCTCAACAAGCCACAAACCCGAAGGCCAAACATTTGTGAAGTCAGGATCCCGGCGGACTTTTCCCAATCGAGGCACCAAAAGAGTAACTGCGTTACGCAGCGGCCTTGGCAGTGCGGATCCTGGCGGACTAAAACCACCACTCATTCCGAAAAAGAAACACCATCCTTCCATTATGTGAGGGAACGCTTCAAGAAAAACACACATGTTTTTGTCTCGTACACCATGCACACGACCAGTGACCTGGCCGACTCACAGGATGGTCATTCACATGTACTTGGAAGTTTGAAGGAGTGGTGGCTGTAGCATGCCGGCATCAGGAACTCCCCGCATCGACAGACACTGCGGTCACTGGCGCGCAGACAGAGTGGCGTTTGTCACTGCTTACCAGCTGGTTTGTCTCTCCGCTCCTTAATCGGCAAAGTTGGCGTGGGCAAGGCCAGCACGTCGAGAGCTCGAGTGCCAGCGACAATTTTTTTCGGGGATCTGACATCTTGTCGTCCCCCGATTCCGCCTTCTCCTCCGCCGACGATGGTCAGCGGCAGCATCGGAGAGTTCGTATGCGAGAAATCGACGACAGATCCCCTGGAAGGTTTGACGTCGAGAGGGTCGTCGACACCAGACGTCGAGGACGGCTGCGCGGACATGTGGTGGTCGCCCAGGATGCCGTCGATAACTTCTTCGATGTCAATACGCACACTCGGTTTAGTCAGGATGACTGCTACACGAGCTTCGTTGAACCGGTGTTGGAGATCGACGACAGACGTCATTGCTTCGACCTCATAGTCATCACGTTTTGCCGAAAGGCTTGTGACCACATGTGTCTCCATACCCAGTGCCGTGTCATCGTCGTCGTCGTCTTCCTCGCGGTGTTCTGCGTACAGCTGCCCGAATCCAGCAGACGACTCCCCAGATCTGTCATCGTCGTCGCCGAAAGTCCGTTCGTCGTCTCCTGTATCAAGTTCACCTTTTTCCCCCTGCTGCCCTCCTAGCAACCCAGCCAACTCCGTTTCTTCCCCTTCCTCTCCTTCATCCTCTTCTTCCTCCCCTTCATCCCCTCCTTCCTCTAATTCCTCCCCTGTGTCTCCTTCCTCCACTTCCTTCTCTTTGTCCATCACCCTGCCTTCTTCCCCTGCATGCAATGCAGCCACTTCGCCCGAACCCGTGTCGATTTTCGACGAATGCGCTTCCCGCCCGCCGCACGCAGCCCCTCCCGCCTGCACCAATATCCCTGGTTGCCCCCCCTTGCCTGAAGATGTTCGAATCCCGGCGAACTTCACCGTCTCCCTATCGCCGGGCCCTCCACATGCCTTGCCTGAAGAAGTTCGGATCCCGGCGAACTTCGCCGTCTCCCTGCCGCCGGGCCCTCCACACGCCTTGCCTGAAGAAGTTCGGATCCCGGCGAACTTCGTCGTCTCCCTATCGCCGGGCCCTCCACACGCACCCTCTCGCTCCGACCGAAGCGGTTGGCGATTCCCCACAGGCGGCAAAGTCCCGTCCCTCACCGCACCGCTGTCTATTTTGGGATGACGACTCGCCATCCCCGGTCCTGACCAGCTCTGCGCATCCGTCCTCTTTGTCCGCTCTGCAAGCATTGAAGTTCGGATCCCGGCGGACTTGAACGTTTCGACCGAGCCGGCACGGAGAGCAACCAAGGCCGCCATCACCGACCAGGTGGATGAACTGGGCACGTCCGCCGACTGTGTCGAGCCTTCCGGACCGGGACCGGTAGACTGCTGACGCCCGAGGGCCTCCCCCGCCACCCCGCCGCTGCCTTCCGTTGTCGTGGTGTCGCCCGGAGACCCGCCCTCAGCCTCGTCGCCCTCGTGTTGTCGCCCCAGGACTCGTTTGCCGCCCCCAGCCTCGTCGCCCTCGTTCTCCCCACCGTCCGGTCCCCGGGACCCTGTACTTACATGCGTCCCACTGGGAGGGGGGATTTCCCAGTCCACCCTTCCTTTCGAGGGGCTCGTGTCGAGGTCGTAGTAGTTCTCCGTCAGGTCCAACCAGCACTTGTCCTGAAGTTCGGCGAACAATCGCCCAGCTGTGGAAATGACGGACACGTCTTCGGGTGCGAAAGAGTCATTCTCGGCCCTCACTTTCTGGAGGACCGCAATTTTAGCGACATTGAGGAAGTCAGACTTCGACCCGCGAGGGAGTGGCATCCATCCTCCGTCCGGGACAGCGACCGCCACGATCCACTCACCCTTTTGGATCGCCAGCTGGATGACTCTTGGATGCCAAATCATGTCATGGCCCCAGTCCGCCTCCGTGGAACGACTTTGAGGCTCAGGCAGGAAGTGAATGTTGGCATTTGTCCAAGATAGATGATCGGGCAGGATGTCAGACCTGGGACGCAGTGAGCGATGGCCGGAGGCCAGAGCTTGCATTCTCTGCAGCAACTTCATCGGGGTAGTGCCAGGCGCCGGTTTCGCCATCGGTGACACGAGGGACGTTGGGCTTGTGGACGGACCTGCCAAGGACAACCCTGTAGCGTGCTGCGCGAAATGTTGGTCGTACTGCAGGTCGAGGCTTTCGGTGTTGCTGCCCTCCTCGTCCGCGGTCGCGTCGAACTCGATGCCGGTGGTCTCCTCGTCTTCCGTGGAGATCAAGGAGGAGTAACTGCCGAACGTCAGCTCCTCCTCTGACTCCACGAAGTAAAGGGACTGCAACCTCTCGAGGAAGGTCTTCGCGTTCATGCGGGAGGCGCCGTGGTAGTTGTCGAGCAACGTGAACATGTGGTCCTTGCGGCGCACGTACTCGGCGTCAGTGTCTCTCTTCGGCCGCGTTTGCAGGAACAAGAAGTCGTATATCTTGTTCCGCTTCCTCACACTCAACTTGAACCACATGTCCGTCTTGTTGTTCCACACGCGAGCCCGAGTCTCGGTGACGACCATGAACTCGCAATTGTGGGCACCCGGATTGACCTCGCTTTTGACGAGATCAATTGTAAATTGCAAGAGCTCGGAGTTCCCTTCCATCGCGATGACATGTCGTCCTGCCTTCAGTACTTCCCAGACTGACCGCGCGTGTGGCTTCCCGAGGAAGACGACACCCTCCTCCTTCTTGGTGACGGATTCGAGAAGTTGAACGAATTGCGCGGGGTTGCGTTCCATGTTCCCGTACACACTGCCCCGACGTGCAGGCGAGGTATGCGACCAGTCGCAAGGGTTGAACGAGATGTCGGACACATCAGTTTGCGTAACCTTCTGTGGCACCCGCACTGCAGCAGCGGCGCCTGCCGGCAGTTTCCCCTCCTAGACGACAGACGTGTTGTCCCACAAATCGTCGCCTTTGAAGAGTATGTACATCCGGTCGTCTTCCGTGTACAAATTGTTCCCGATGGGGAAGCTTTTCTTCTGTTGACTCCTCCTCACCCACTTCCCTTCCAGCAGCTTGACGAAAGAAAGATGGTTCATGCTGGCCAGAAAGGAGAGGTTCTGCTGCCGCGGAACAAAAACAACGAGCGTCCAATGCGACGGACACCACGTCTGGAGTTGGGAATCCAGAGTGTCGAACGCTTGCGGTTTCCAAAGCTTTTGGTCCACCGGTTCACACAGATCGAGGACGAACGTGTGACTCTTTGTGGCAACCACTGCCTCCTACACCTCCAAACTCCTTATGTCTGCCTCCACGGGGTCGTTGCCGAATGGCGCGATGGATGTCACGTCACCCGTGCCATTCCATTTTATGTGCACAATGCCTTCGGCGAGCGCAATCTCTCGACTCTTCAGTTTACTGCCAGTCAACACGGACACGACCTTATTCCTCCAGTCGACGGACAGCTTCTTGTGACCGGCCAGCTTCTCCGTCGCCTCGATCGATCTGTCGTCGTCGCAGCCCATGTAGGGCGGGCAGTCCTTGAACAGCGAGGAGTCAGTGACGTATTTCGTGCTCCTGTCCCACAACTCAGCATCTAAACCACGACTCTCAAACGGTCTGAAAATTGCGTACCTTGATTTCAGGAACGGGAACCTCTAGCTCCAATCCGTGTCCGGCTTTTTGTCGTGCTTGAACTGGTAGTAGTTCCACAGACGCACCAACACCCGGTCGCACTTCACCAAATTCACCACCTCCTGGACGCTCTGCTTTCCGAGCTTCGCCAACGCTGGGGAGCCGGCCTGTACCCAAACCACCTCGCAAGCGAGCACCTTCTTCAGGAAGCGGCACTTCTCGTTATCTGTCAGCGACTCCATCGTTTTCCAACAATGCGCGTCCGGCTCTGGCACTTGCACGAACCACTTGCCCTCCTCTTTCTCCTTTTTGCCTTTCTTTGTCGGCGGGTCCACAGGGACATTGTACACGACCTCCTTCCTACCCAGCTTGTCATTATGGATGAATGCAACCCCAGGCTTCACGTTTTTGACTTTCTTCTTGCGCATGATCCACTTTGCGCCGTCGTGTCCGAGCAATCTGCCTGTCTCCCATTTCTCGAAAAACTCGACGGCCAGTTTCCAGACTTTCTCCCCTGCCATCGCCAGGGGGAAATAGGAACGCAGGGCAGCGCCTTGTTTACTGATGGCCTCCTCGCCCTGCTGATCTGCGAGAATCCACAAGTTGTTGTGCAGTGTCATGTTGAGTGTGACATTACAGAATTCACGCCACTTCCGGACCTGATCCTGTTTTCCGCTGGGGTTCCCCATAACAGCACGCGGGCAACCGGCGCGCTTCCACTGCCACCTAATGTCCCTCATTGACAGCTTCAGCTGTCGTGGGGGCGCCTTCAGGTCCTTCTTGTTGTCCTGGGAACTGACAAGGAAGGTCATGCGTTAAACTGCAAATGATTGAATGTTGGTTTGTATACATCGCGGGGGGAGGGCATTTGTGTGAGCACGACTGGGATGAGCGCGCGGTTCTCGATCATCCACCTGCCGTGCATTGGCTGTCTCTTACGCTTAAGACGGCTGGTGTCCAACACCGGGAAGACGTCTCGCCACTAAACATGTGCCTTTGTCGCCGTAGAGACCACGTGTCAACCCGATCCCGCGCACACAGCGTGCAGATCATCCGTCCGAGAGCCCACTTATGTTGAGCGCGAGCTCCTGGCGCTGGTCGTGAGCGATGCGCTGCGTCACTCCTTGCGACCAGCGATAGGAATGTACGCGCGACATCTGAGGCCTCCGTGCCAGAGAATGCACAAGCGGTCTGCGTGAGATGGAGAACGACATCGCAAGTCGCCACAATGATGATGCCGTTTTGTCGGTGTGATCACCGCTTGCGTCGTGGAGAACACCCCGTGATCACCGGTTGTGTCATGAAGAAGACCGTTTTGTCGGCGTGATCACCGCTCGAGTCGATGGCCTCGTTCAACATCGAACAACGCGGTCCTCGCCGCGATACTGATTTCTGCTGCTGTGAAGTGTCATGGTGATGCCGTCGCCTGGCCATGGGGAAGAGCGCGCGCACATGACAACACACCAACAATCTTGTTGTAGTTCCCCAGGATGAGGACTTCCCTTTCCGCGCGAGACTCGCCCTTTCTGGTCACGCGCTTGCAGTTGCAACGGCGCCCCCACTTGCCCGCACGAGTCGATAGCTCCGAACACCCTGCCAGCCGCCACCGTGCGAGGGTCGCAACACGAAGTTCAGATCCCGGCGAACTTCGCTTGTTGGCGCTTGCGATGTGGCGAGTTGCGCAACGAGATTGTCGGCGTCATCAGGTAGACTTGCGCTGTGAGCTTCCATTGTCGGCGCACGTAATGACACAAAGCGCGTCTGTCGCTTTATTTCCTCTACGCACGAACGTAAGAGCATATCCAACACTTTGGGCTGTTCGAACTACGGTCTAAACATTTCTACAAGCAATTTCTTCTGAAAGAATTCCTGGAATAACCTTTTGCGGCAGCCGCCAGTCCGTGGTGATGTCACCTTCTACAATCCAAGTTCGGATCTCAGCGGACTTCGGCGTTCCACGCAAATCCAACCGCCCCGTTTAAGACCCCGAACTGTCCGACGTGGTCTGCTAGTCGGAGGCCCTGCGGTGCGCAAAATGCTCGCTTCGAGAAATGGCTTATAGAGGTTTATGGGGGGGTGCGCCCAAGCATCGCCTGCTTCTGTGCAAACGCCAAGCACCCGTTCCTATAGATGCGACCGCGCGAAAACCTGTTACTCGCTACACTCGCATCCGCCAAGTTCGGATCCCGACGTACTTTGAGGATCCGCGGGAAACTGACCGTCCTTCACATGAGGTGTGGACCTTTGCGTGTGAGTTGCTACCGGGAGGAGTATTGGTGCGCAAAATTCCTCGCCGTACGGAATGCCCATTCAGGGGTTTACGGGGGTTTCCGTCGGTGCCATCAAGCGTGTCCGTTATCGGTCTGCCGTCGATCCCGACGAGTTTTGGCAGTCGTAGGCCGTGGGGTGCGCAGAATGCTCGCTTCAAGAAATGGCTTGTAGGGGTTTACGGGGGGTGCGCCCAATCATCATCTGCTTCTGTGCAAACGCCAACCAACCGTTCCAACGGCCGCAGCCACGCGAAAACCTGTGACTCGCTGCACTCGCATCCGCCAAGTTCGGATCCCGGTGGACTTTGAGGATCCGCTGGAATCCAACCGTCCTACGCATGACGCGTGGACCATTGCGTGCAACTTGATTGCGAGAGGAGTATTGGTGCGCAAAATTCCTCGCCGTCTGGAATGCCCTTGTAGGGGTTTAAGGGGGTTGCCGTTGGTGGCAGCAGACGTGTCCGTTGTCGGTCTGCCGTCGATCCCGACGTGCTCTGGTAGTCGGAGGCCCTGGGGTGCGCTAAATGCTCGCTTCAAGAAATGGCTTGTAGGGGTTTATGGGGGGTGCGGCCAAGCATCGTCTGTTTCTGTGCAAACGCGAACCGCACGTTCCAATAGCTGCAGCCACAAGAAAATCAGTTGCTCGCTGCACACACATCTGCCAAGTTCGGATCCCGGCGGACTTTGAGGATCCGTGGCAATCTAATCGTCCTTCGCATAAGGTGTGGACCTTTGCGTGCCCGTTGCTTCCGGGAGGAGTTCTGCTGCGCAAAATTCCTCGCCATCTGGAATGGCCGTGTAGGGGTTTATGGGGGTTGACGTCGGTGGCTGCAAATGTGTCCGTTGTCGGTCTGCCGTCGATCCCGCCGTGTTCTGGTAGTCGCAGGCCCCTCGTTCCGCAAAGTGCTCGCTTCAAGAATTGGCGTTTAGGGATTTATGGGGGGTGCGGCCAAGCATCACCAACTTTTGTGCACACTCCAACCACCCTTTCCAATAGTTGCAGCTGCGCGAAAACCAGTTACTCGCTGCACTCGCATCCGCCAAGTTCGGATCCCGGCAGACTTTGAGAATCCGCATGCATCTAACCGTCCTTCGCATGAGGCGTGGACCTTTTCGTGCAAGTTGGTCCAGGGAGGAGTATTGGTGCACAAAATTCCTCGCCGCCTGGAATGCCCACGTAGGGGTTTATGGGGGTGGCCGTAGGTGACAGCAGACGTGACCTTCATCAGTATGCAGGGGAGGGGTTCGTCTTGTCACGGACGTGCTCGTGTTCGTGTTCCGGCGCGCTTTTCGGTTCGCGATGTCACACGTCGACGTTCCCAGCGCGCGAATCGGGGTTCGTCTTGTCGACTGGCGGAGTCGGGGTTTGGAAGGGTTGCAGGGGAGGGGGTCTTTCATCCATTTCTGAATTTCGACATATTATTTACGGGAATCTGACGGCGGGAATCTGACCGCGGAAATCTGACCGTGGGAATCTAACTGTCCTTCGCATGAGGCGTGGACCTTTCCGTGCGAGTTGCTTCGGGGAGGAGTATTGGTGCGCAAAATTCATCGCCGTCATGAATGCCCATGTAGGGGTTTGTGGGGGTTGCCGTCGATGACAGCAGACGTGTCCGTTGTCGGTCTGCCGTCGATCCCGACGTGTTGTGGAAGTCGGAGGCCCAGGGGTGCGCAAAATGCTCGATTCAAGAAATGGCTTATGGGGGTTTGTGGGGGGTGCCCCCAAGCATGGCCTGCTTCTGTGCAAACACCAACCACCCGTTCCAATAGCTGCAGCCGCACGAAAACCTTTTACTCGCTGCACTCGCATTCTGCCGAGTTCGGATCCCGGCGGACTTTGAGGATCCGCGGGAATCTAACCGTCCTTCGCATGATGTGTGGACCTTTGCGTGCGAGTTGATTGCGCGAGGAGTATTGGTGCGCAACATTACTCGCCGTCTGTGTCTGTAGGGGTCAATTTGGGGTCGCGCTGCGCCGAATTGTCTGGTGGTACATCCACCGCTACCCTTTGTTCTGCAAGTGCTGTTGCACGGCGACCAATTGAGAGCGCCATGGCCTTCCTTCTGTGTACCCGAAAATAGCGTTCCTTGCGTGCCCCTGCTGACGCTCCCTTCAAATGACACCGGCCTCGCGAAAACCGGTTCCTTGGTGTTCCAAGGCCCGCTTGAACGATGGCTCCGTGCGAGCTTCGTGACTCTGCGTTATTCTGACCGTCATTTTCAACGGCTTAGACTTCCCCGTGCGTTTTCGTTCGCGGTAGCCTGGTGGTGCGCAAAAAATTTTCGTCTTGAGAATTGCCCTTAAAGGGGTTTATTGGGGTTGACGACGGTTTCTGTGGCCGGGTCGAAATGCGGTCTGCCGTTGATCTTCGTTGCCCTCCAATGAAAGGAATCATCGCGACAGGTGAGGTTCAGTCGCCAACATGTTTCTGCCTCGGCGTGCTTTGCGGTTCGCGCGGTCAGGTGTCAACATTGCCATCGCACAAGTCGGAGATCGCCTTCTTGTTTTCACGGACCGGGATTTGTTTCGGTTCCGGGAGGGTCTTCCATCCATGGTTGTAATTTTCTTCTCCACGCCGCCTGGGTGTTGGAGTTGCGCGCTGTTCTACCTTTGCCTTTCGAAATCAGGTAGTTTGGCCGATAGGGGCAATCGGTGTTTGCAGGGGTCTCTTGGGGACCGCACTGCGATGACTTGTGAGGTGCTGCACCCACGGCTAGCCTTCCTTCTGACAGCGGCAGAGCCTGGACACGAGGTTCGAAGCGCGGCGAACTTTCCAGTTCTGGGTGATGCTAACCGTCCTTTTGCGAGGCCTGGTCCATTGTGTTGTTATTGTCGGGGACCCATGGGTGCGCAATCAAGCTCGCCGTGTATGTTGCCGTGGTTGGGGTATATAGGGGTAGCTGACGGTGGCAGTCATTATTGTCGTTCGCGTGCGGAGGCGCTTCGGTGTCGAAGCCGCGCGGGCTGCAAAGGCTTTCAGTACAGACACACATACTTCGAATCGACGTGCAGTTACTCGGGGGTTGTGGGGGTCGGTTGAGGGTCATTAAACCATGTTATTTTTTGTCTTCTTCCTCTCATACCATTGCTTTCGTTACGTCGATTGGCCGACGGTCAGTGCGCGGCGATCCGTTAATGACCGGTTCGTCGTCGATTCGATTTCTGCCGAGTTCGGATCCCGACGGACTTCTTTGCTTCGGTTGCTGCGCTGGGAATCGGCTCTGTGGAGGGG